TTTACCCTCCTTTTTGCCATTTTTCAAAGCTGACTTTTTTATCTCAACCAATACCTTGCATAAATATTAATTCATTGAAAAATGTTAATTGGTCAATCGGACTATGAACTGTAAATTTTGCAGTAGTCATTATGATGCCAAACCAGAATATCGGACAAACCGCTAATGGGGTTTTTTAATTTTCCCCCCATCCACCACCCCGCAGTACTTTAGGGTGGGGCACTAACTAAAATCTTGGTGTGAAACATAAAAAGGGGAAATATTTTTCTCCCTTCTCGGGCCTTGCCTCTTGTATTTCCTTGACTAATTTTTCCTGGGTCTTTCCTTGCTGGTTTCCTCTTTATATATTTAACACAAAAATTTTTTTTAAACTAAAGCTAAACGAGGTATGTCTATTATATACAAGTAAGTATTCATATACATATAAGAGAGCAACTTATGGGCATGTGTCCATTTGCAATTAAAATTCCAAGGAGTATGCCAGGATTCGAACACAGACACAAAGATAGTTATGCCAGTAGAATAAAAACACTTATTACACGTTGGCAAAGATAGTCGTGAAGAAAATATATCGAATAAATTTTATTATACCAAAATTTAAAAAAACAATTGACTGCCTTTTCAACACCTGTATTATTTTTCACTAGCCCAATATTTGATAAAAACAGGAAAAATCCAGAAGGTCAATTATTCGTTCACATAAAGAAACTGTTTTGATTAGTTCAGGTAAAGTTTCCCAATACAAATAATGAGAAATTATCATAAATAAATGTTTTGTTTCTCAGTGTTTTCTGCGTGGTATTGAACCAGAAATGAGGTCAGACACTGAGGTGGCGAATGATGAAAATAATTATATTAATTTATGTTTTTAGAAGGTCTTATTTAACCAACATATTATTTCAATTAATATATTAACATAATATAATTTTTTAAATTAATATATCAATTAATATAATTTTTTTAATGTAAAGTGTGGTTGAGATGAAAATTTAAATCGTTACTTCGGTTAAGTAGGACCAACTAAAAAACATAGATAAATATAATAATTACTAAGGTACCGACACTTTGCTAACAGCTCCCCGTGGCCACATTATGTGTCGCCGAAAATCGAAATGATTACACGAAATTTGAATATATAGCAAAAAGAGGGGAATTTGAAAAAGTTGTATGTTGAAATGACCGAAGTCACGATAGCTCATGTGATTTGAGCAACGGCGTATTGAGCTGAAGGTCGTGGGTTCGAGTCCCGCTCGTGACAAAAATTTTTTATCACAACTACACTACATTTTTTTAAAATTGCAAATCAAGTTAAAAATAGTCGTTTATGTAAAACAAAAATTGGCTGAGCTTTGGGAATAGCTTTAGACAAAGATGACCGAATAGTTCATAACACACATGTAAAAATAAAATTATGTCAATGATGTTTCCTACGAAAATGGACATGCCGGTCTGTCCCTCGGGGTAAAGGGACCGGACCTGACCTGACGGATTTGACACCCAGTCGAAAAAATGTGTGAACCCCTTGTAATTGAGTGATGCCCACTATCGCAGAGTCATCTGCCTCTATTGAGATGATAAAGGGCCATCGACTCGGTGACATTTCATCAGACCTCGGCTACCTAAAGATGAACTCAACACTGTCGGTCGAAAACGTTTTTTTCTGTTTTTCTCCCGCTGAGAATGACGGTTGACGATATTAAAAATCTATTGTAGAAAGATGTACAAGTGCTGATCGAATTCGTCGTATAATTTAGATACATAGTTTTATTTATACGTTTTATATTCTCCCAGATATAATTACTTCATCGTAATATTATAATTTTAAATGAGTAAACTGAATAAGACCAATTTACACGAAAACTAAGTTCCATCCTATATAAAAAATAGTGCATCATTTTCAAACATCAGAAGAACGATCTACGATCAAGAAGAAACTTCCTCCCCTGCCGTATTTTTTCGATTTGTTCAGAAGGACACCAAAATACACTGAGAGTCTAAAAAGTATAGTGTGGTATGGTAATTAGGATACTAGGACGCAGCGTTGGTTCTCCCCAGGCACTGCATCCTTCTGTCTTATTGTACCTTCCTAGTTCCCTAGTTCAGTGCAATAGACCTAATCCTTCTTTTTAGAAGTATCAGATTATTGATTATCGCTCCTACAATTTCATTCCCTAGATTTCTTTCGTATGCTAGGTTAAATCTCCACTGAGCTGTTGCTTCGCTTTCGAAGATGATATAAGTGGCTGTTTCCTCCTCCTCATTGCATAATCTGCAGATGGAAACATCGTTGTGTGTGGTCATGCGGTGTAGATGTTTTCCCATCTCCAGTTTTAGCAGTGAATTTGCCAATCTTGGTGAGGGTAGTTTTATCATAAGTTTACTGTTTCTAGTACCTCTAGAGATTATCCATTTCTCCTTTTATTTTGTTTGGATCCATTCTGCGATGGACGATTCAATATGTGTTTTTGTTATCCCAAGTATAGGTTCGGGGCATATATATAGACTTGTAGGTCTTCCTCAGTGTCTTTCTCGTTCCTTCGAAATTTCTCTGCGCACTGGATATCATCAGGTTGTAGTGTTTCCTCAGGTTTGGAGATTTTGGATGCATTCAGTTACTAATTTTGATGTGATTTTTTTACTCGCTAATGCTTTAATAGCTGCTTGGCTATCCGATCTTATGAGGATTTTTTTGCGAGTGTAACCTCTGTTTAGATTTTCTTGGGCACAAGCGTTGATGGCATGCATTTCTGCTTGAAAGACCGAAGTGTACTTCCATAATGAGTTGAATTTCTTAAGTTTTTGAATTGTACAGAAAATGATCGATCCGATACCTTCGCTTGTCTTCGAGCCATCTGTATGCCATATCATTCTATCTTATGCTCTTCTGACTTCTTCTTCTCCTTTATAGTCCGTTGAGGCTTTATAAGATGTAAAGAACGTCTCCGAGATCATATAGTCAGTCCCCATTTCTAAAAATGGGTGTCTGATTTTGTTAATTATGGTTGTGTGCCCGAATTGATTAGTTCCTACCCAATTTGATTGTTTTTGAAGCAATAACAAGCAAAATTAAAAAAAAATAATAATGTTGTAATATCTGGAAGCGTGTGGGTCAGCGGCATAAGTCCGACCACGGAACGAGTATGAACGTCGAAGGGTGTCCGAAGAATCACCACACGATGAAGATTGGGACCTAGGGTGGAAAGGGTTCCGAAATGACATTAAAAGGGTTGGGATCCCGGATATTCACTACGTCTCCCACCCTCCGCGGAGTAGTTGAATTGGCCAAGTTTTTGCGCTCTATCAACGTATTTAGGTATTCCTTGAACCATCGACGCCCAAAAGGTCTGATCCACCCGTCTCTGGTTGACCCATCGATCTGAGTAATGCCCTGCGCTGAGATAATTGCTGTCTCAATTATCTTTTCCTAGGCTCTCCTAGTATAAATGTTTCCAGTGGAGGTCAGTTAAGCAGAGTTTATAGTGCACTTAGGGGTTGTTCTCATTGCCCCTGTAATACACAGACATTCTAATCTTTGTATGCTGCCAAGTATTGAATAATTCCTTTTTGTGAGCTTTGGTCCACACGATTAATGATCCATAGGTCATTTTGGTCTTATTATTGCCGTGTATAGCCAATAGGCCATTTTCGGTACCCATGATTTTCGTAGCGGTCCTTCTTGTGTCATATTGATTATCTTACAACAATACTTAGTCTGTTTTAAAGAATTAGAGGTAAGTAAAACACAGATAAAAATTCCCCTTGTGTTTACAATTGCTTTTTGTAAATAAACCTTTGAATAATCAATCTCTCCTATGTCGGTTTTTCTCTAACGCTTCTTTCTACGTTCCGGTGGTTTGACTTTTTCTTAAGTTAGTATTTTTAAGTTTCAAATTTGTTTGAGGGATAGTTTTAAGTTATAGATTCGGCTAGAATCATATCATTGTTGGAAGATGGAAGAAGTCTATGTATGAGGTACAATGTACAATATACGTAAGTGGCCAAGGTGCTAACATTCCCAGAACAACTGTCCGAAGAGTCTTTCATCGCTACCAAGATACTGGAGGTTACCAAGAAGGCATGGCTCAGGTCGCCAAAGTGTCACCTCTCAAAGAGATGTTTCATTGTTTTGTATGCACTCAGTAATCGACATTCTACCGCTGTTAAGATCAAGCAAGGACTTGATTAGATTTGTTGGATGTTGGAGGATTTAGCCTAGCGATAAAGTTCGACTCCGTAAGTTTAAACTAGTCTAATGAATGTTATGTAAGCGGTTAGTTTGTTATGTGTATTGATTTTGTTCCCTGTAAGTAGTTTTTGATAATTCTTGTCTTTTTAATCTTGTTTGTGGATACAATATGTCTGCTATCTAAGTAAGCCCATGGTAGCGGACAAGGTAGGGTGGTGAATTTATACGGTATTTTATGTACTGTTTATGAGCACTAGTGGACCGTTTGACGTTTGAGCGTGAGGTAACTGGCTTTTTTGCTCGTTCAACTTGATCCGTCATTTAATGCATCAGTCCGTAATTAGGTTCAGAGGTTCTGTGGCTAGGATAGAATTGGAGTGTTATAAGCGTGACGTCCGCGTAGGTTGTGAGTTGTGTGTTTGAATGTGTAGGTATGCCATTAGTGTAGATGGTGTAGAGGACTGGTCCTGGGATAGTTCCTTGTGGAACACCACCTTTGATTGGTCTGACGAATAAAAACAAAATATTCCGAGAGGAAGGACTTCAGAATGAGATAGTAGGTCAAATTACTTCATTAAATACTTCGAAAACACTATTGTTGTTGGTGAACATATACAGCCGTCTAATGATATTTTCGGCACTACTGGCAACCTTGCTTCAATATACGTTTTAATCACATATTTATGGAAATATACGTTATGTGGATCAGTGGTATCATTGATCAAATCACGGTTTTATTATTAATAATTTATTTCATTTTATTAATTATTAGATAAAATAGTATAAGAAAGTACGTATAAATGAGAAGTCAGTCTAGTCCACCATTTATTTTATTGTATAGATTTATTTCAATTTTATTTGACATGAAAATTGAATAAGATGACTATGCCTTGTTTTGGTCATCGTCTGACCATCCAGAAAACGAATAACTTCTCCTGCTGGGACTTCTTCTTAATTTCCTTGTTGATTTCTTTCTTCTGCTTTTAGGCGGCTTTTCGACGTAGTTACTCGGCAGTATAATGGTCACCGATTTTTTGTGTCCTATTTTTCGTGGGTCTCGGGAAGGAGTAAGTATGCCTTTGTTATGTGATGGCCAGCTCTCTTTTGTAAAAGTGCCATCTGAGGTAATTCCGACCACCGGTCTGCCCTTGTTAACGGTGGGATCTGGCGATTCCACCTCGTCCTCGATGATCTCCGGTGCGACCTGACTTGCAGCCTCTATTTCGTCCAGTAGTTGGGCAAGGAAGCTAAACACAACTATAAAAAAGTAGGCACGCACAACTGAAACAATCGTGGATTTTTAATGCTGTTTCTCAGTCGTCTATATTCTAATAGCTTCTCTGTCTAACATCTTACCAGAAAATGTTGCAAATATAACAATTAAGACAATGTTATAATCCTGGTACACGAAGATGATGATTACGTATACAATATCGATTATGAACCTAACAGCCATGTACAAACAGCACACCTGCATGGTTCTTTCGTCATTCTGTGAAATAAATTGTGTAAGAGAAATTCTCTACCAATCAAATATCAACTTATTTTACATCAAAACGCTACTAACCCTTTTCGCAGCGAAGTATATAAGCATGTGGAAAGTGAAGTCTACTACAAGATAGGCCGAAAAGAATATAAAAAATACAAGGCCCATGTTCATGTATTCTAGAAATAAAAATAATTGAGTTTTCCAAGCACTTTATAGTATATACAACAGTTAGAAATGTGTGTGTAATACTTTATAATCATTTAAATTTTTTAAAAGGTCGGTTACCCATGTCGAACCTACACGACAGAATCAGCCAAGGCATCAATGTCTTAGACATTGAGAAATCATGATTCTAAATTAACTTTTTTTGTAACTTCGTCGCAGGTAGGATTTGGTGGAATCGTGAGGGTTTATATATAAGTTTAAATTATTTATTATTTATCCAACTTCAGAAACTGGCAGGAAGCGTTTAACGTTATCTTGTAATATCCCTGTTTTAGAGTCAAATTACATTTGATGAACAATACATGGGAATTTTTATTATTATTACTGTGGTAGACGTATATAATGATGATCGAGTTCTCTAGGTCAACTGCTCGCTTAGTTGAATAAAAATAGAGATATTAAGCAATCTCAAATTTGGGTTTTAAACAAATATTGGGTACGCTGTTAACCATAACCATGCAATGAAGAGATGTACGATTGAATGTTGAGTTAAGCTTGAATAAAATAAATAGAGGTAATACGATTTTGATAATTTTTATTATAATTAAAATAGTATATGGATTCAAATTGCTAACAGGTTTTAACACTTGACCTACTATGTCTGCAATATCTCTGATCATTCTGGTCGACCTGTTCTGTAGAACGTATCCATACAGATAGTTCAGTTTTATGTTCAAACAAACATAAAAAACATGCGTATTACACTATCTTAGACTAAATTGACAAATGTACATCCAAAAGTTTACGCTTCAACAAAGCATTTGCTCGAAATGACGAATTGATGAAATTATTAAGACAATTTATTGTCCTTTCATGGATGATTAAAAAAGTATAATTTAAATTTCTTTTGTCGAAAGCAAGATATTGTGTCTTACTAGATTCAATGTTTCAAACTTTCTCTTTTTTCTATAAAGCATTAGTTCTTTGAACTTGTTTATAGAAATCACAATTTTAATCTGATATTAACTTCACTAATTTCGTGGTCCGCTTGACCAATTAATCTATTATAATTAATTAAGGTTTTTAGTTGAGATAAAAAAGTCAGTGTCACGAGCGGGATTCGAACCCACGATCTTCGGCTAGATACGCCGGTGCTGTACCACTTGAGCTATCGTGACTCGATCCACTCGGACACTAACTTCTCATCTCAACCCCAACTTTTTGAATTTTCCCTCCTTTTTGCCATTTTTCAAATGATATTAACGGACAACCTAAAAAAAGGGATCTTTTTCATTAAACGTTTCACAATGCCGTCAGCTGATATAAAAACTAAATTGCAATAAACATGCCAACGATTGATTAATCATACCATCATCTTGTATCCCGTCTAAAGTTAAACGAACCAAGCTTGCGAGTAGTGTAAGTGCAGCTACTACCTAAAATGCCATTATTTAATTTACTTGCAAAGACGATGTATTAATTTAAGTTTTTTTTCAGAATCTTACCATGCCGACTATCGCGATTATCATGCACCCGGTTCTGAGGGACCACCTCCACAGGAAACTGTTCACGATCGGTCCGATCATGGATCGGGCGCGTCAGTGTCGCGGATGCCGAACATTTCGCTTTCAAAACGCGGTCTTCCTCTGAGGAAAACCCGTATCACATTAAGAGGAAAACCACGTTTTTCCGGCTTTCAAGGCATCCGTTTCCACCCACTATCTCGCTCGCACCGCTTCCACACGGACTCGGCTATATGAACACGTTCTCATTTCAAAACTGTAAAACATAATAAATATTTTGATATCAGCTGAATTTACAATTATCAGACAATCATTATATTGGCTGTTATATTTTTTATTTAATAAGACTTCAAGCTTTCGTGCAGACATTTCATTTGCAATTGGCCATTTAATCCGTGACAATTGATCTCTGTTTTATATACTTTGTGAAGCACATAATCTTGATATACTGTCGCATTTCTAAATATGTATATTTGTTTGTTTAAAGTTTGCATATAACCAGAGAAATAAATACAAAATTTATGAAGGTCCTACAACCATAAATGCAATCTAAATGACTACGTTAGACCACAGGCGATGCGAATAAAAAGCAGTACTTAGAAATTTGGAAAATAAGTAAAAATCAAGTATCTACTTTATATTGCCTGATAAAATTTAATATCAATTACATGATTGAACTGTATCCATCTTGTTCGACTGATCCAGAGATAGATTTTCACTAATGTAGGTATTCTGCTAAATTTGAATAACGAAAACATGATTCCAAGGATGGTGGGCAAAAACCATATTAGAAAATTGAGAGAACTAAAAAGCAGAAGATGACGGTTCATTGGATGAAGTGGTTAAGTTGTTATCAAGTATCTTTTTTGGTATGTAAATAATGTTGCCAAAACTGTCACATTGCTTCAGTTAGACAGGTTAAACTTCAGGTAGTGATATACCAGTCACTAACATCTGAGAAAGCAACATTGGCTTGTTCAATTATGACTCCATTAGTACGATATTCAATGCACGACATTAAAACAGACCCTGAATCCATCCGAATTCCAACATTGCATTGGGGGTCAGGAAGCACACAGGAATTTTTGGTAATGAACATGGCCAATTTCTGCAAGACAAACTATAGGTCCAGAATTTATAATTGAGACGACTATAGACTTCCGTCTCGGATTGGCTCTACTACAAACCAAAATAGGAATAGCCTAACTACAGGCATAGTAAACCCATGACCAATAACCAACCATACAGAAACTGAAAGCACATCGCTACAGGGAGGGGGAAAATCTTGGGGAGTGATAGGACTATAAACCGGTCACTGGTATCTGAGAAAACATGTGCACTATATATTGATTTGTACCTCATTTGTAGGTTATACAATGAGAAGAGAGAAACTGCCAACCATATTATCTACGAATACGGAACAACTGCTCCCTGGAGACATAACCTAGGGTATCAAGAAGTCGCGACATAAATAATTAAATCACTGACTATCAGTGACCTTCTACTTCTAATAGGAAGGATCGAGTCAATTGAAGTGAGCTTAGGAACGAAGGAAAGTACAAAACAGAAGGCATATCAAACCCGCATCCTAGTGTCTATCATTCTTTTCCTTCTCAACGTCATTATTATCATTTTCTTGACAAGGTCAGGCCTTTTGTATGACGATTTAGAAATGGGCATTAACACATTGCTATCCCAAGAGTACAATCGTGCAACTACGTGAAACGTGCCGTACGAGTTTTATTTTCTATTAAAATCGATATTATATTTGGTGCTTTAAAATGATCAATCCTACATGAGTTCATTTACTTGCTCACCAAACAAACAACTTACAACAACTTCATCATAATGGCTGACTAACCGTATTACTGCGACAATGTTATGGACTTCCATTCCCAAAAATTGGATGATATGAAAATCCTTTCATACCCATGTTGCATTGGTTGTTCCATATAAGATAGAATGAAATATATTATTTTAGTCGGACTTTGAATTTTTATCTTAATTCTGTACGATAGATTTTCACAACAAGTGTTAATACAAATGTTTTGGTGACAAGGAAACTACATAAACTGCACGACCTATGAAAACCAATCGAAACATCCCGTTAATCCACTGCGACAGGAAAGAGGAGAAAAAATACCGGAGCCGTCAGTTTTTCAATAGATTGACTTTAAATTATACAATACATAACCAGCCGAATTGGTCGGATTTGGTTAACGCGGTTGAACGGAGCCGACCGGCAGGTCGCTACCTGCAGCGGCACGCAACACGCAGTCCGCGATGATGGCAGAGAACAATATATCCACAAAGGATATTTAGATCAAGCAAGTATTTCAGATATGCCTATTAATATTTGACGATGTCAAATGTTAAGTAGAATAAATAATAATTACAAACCGTTGCCTATTTCCTGTAGTCCTTCTTAAACTATTCATATTATCATTCGGAGATCGTGATATGCGGTCTGGTGTGTCGTAGGTTTTAGAAAAACATTTTCTTTACCGTGCCAACGTTTCGATCTTTATTGAGATCATCTTCAGGGCCTGGGATATATAAGCATTGTTTAAATTTTACAAATACATGTAGGATGTAAAAAATGAATTTATACAGTGCTAGAAATTTTATATATATAAAAAAAAATGAATTTATACAACGCTAAAAAAATTTAGATAAAAAAATAATTGTGATGTTTAGTATCCGTCAGTCAATGATTATTCGGAGAGCGTGAGATGCGATCTGGTGGACGTAGGTTTAAAAAAAATTTCTTTATCGTCCCAACGTTTCGATCTTTATTGAGATCATCGTCAGGGTCTGGGATTTATAAACATTGTTTAAATTTTACGAATACTGTAGGATGTGAAAAATAAATTTATACAATGCTAGAAAATTTTAGATTTAAAAAAATTATACAGTGCTAGAAAATTTTAGATTAAAAATGAATTTATACAATGCTAGAGTTTTAGATTTAGTTCAGTTTTTAAATATAAAACTTCTAGCATTGTGTAAATTCATTTTTTTTAATCTAAAATTTTCTAGCATTGTATAAATTATTATTATTTTTTTAATGTAACTTTTGATGTCCGTTGAATTATAATTGTGATGTTTGTATCGGTGGTGATGGGATTATCGGTCGAATCTTTGCCGACGTTTCGATTTATTTCAAATCTTTATCAAGGTAGCCGCTTGATCTCTAAGTGTCCTGTTTTTTATTATGTTTTATTAATTATTATCAATTGGCAAGTTATTTTTCTACTCCATTTAAAAAGTTTTTCCAGTCTTAAAACACTAAATCTAAAACTTTCTAGCATTGTATAAATTCATTTTTTTAAACTGAAATTTTCTAGCAATGAATAAATTTAATTTTTCACATCCTACATATTTATAAAATTTAAACAATGTTTATAAATCCCAGGCGCTGAAGATGATCTCAATAAAGGTCGAAACGTTGGTACTTTAAAGCAAACGTTTTTCTAAAACCTGTCACACCAGACCGCATCTCACGATCTCCGAATAATCATTGACTAACTGTCACTGAACACCACACATTAATATTATCATATGATTTCTTAAAATAACTAGTCTGACTGACCAATAAACCACACTGCACATTCATCAATTGACATTTTAATACTCAAACGTTTCGATAAAACAAATAAATATTTATAGAAATAATTTTCTGTACAAGGATTTTATAACATACACCTAAGCGTAGATTTAGGTATATATTATTCAATGATATTGTAAACTGAAAACAAATTAAACTACTAATCATCCTAAGCATAATGCAGGTAATGCATGTAGGATTTCTTGTAAAATAAACCAATAATCAACCTGGTAAATTTGAGGCACTGTGAATGATATCAAGGCGAGTATATACTAGTTACAAACACTTTATTGACCAAATGCATGTAAATAAATGTTTTTGTGTTTAGGTGCTCAGAAAAATATACCTTTTCTAATATCATTGTTGCATTCTCAATTAATTTACAAACAATTCGATAAATTTCTACTGTTGGTATCAAGTTAAAGCTACAAAGAAATTACAGTTCCAGACTTGGAGTCCCAAAACCCTAGAATCAACTATTTGAAATGTGAATGTATATTAATTAATACATTGGAAAATAAGATATTGTGGAAACAATATTACTGTCAAAATTATAGTAGTTGAAAACAAATAATCATCGCAATTTGAAACATTTTTGTTAAAAGTTGCTAAATATGTTTTTTAATTAATAGGTGTGTTGTCGATATCCGTCAACCTTTCTAATCTTACCATGTATATACTTAAGTGGTTGTACTTTGATTTAGGTCCTTTTTGCAAAAGCGTAGTGCTATGTTTGATCGGTGTGATGATCTTACCTATTCCAAGGTTATCTAGAATCTGAAGCCTATAAAGGTCATTGTTTACGTTTTCCCTGCTACATTTGTATTAGTTAGGCTAAATTCTTTCTACATTCAATTGTCGGTAAAGTCAGTAAAAGTAAAAAAGTAACCCGTGTCGTACTAGATGGCTTAACGTCCAACGGCCGATAGATGTTGCAGAAGAGGATACTTAATGATTTTCAAATAATTCTCAATTAAAATTCTAAGGCATATTCAAACAAATTTCAGATCAATTTTATCTACCAATCGTCGGTTTCTTCCCAACGGTCAATCAAGGCTTTATGGTTGTTTCGGTATGTTTATGGAAAACAAACAAGGAAGGAGCCAGGAGTTTGTCCTTTGCCCTTCCATTGAAGATGGCGAGAATCTGAAACGCGTTTGACAGAGTAAATCAGCTTGGATGTTTAGAGCAAAATAGTCGGAAACGACCAAATTAGAACAATTATATCGCAGACCCCATGTGGAAAGTTCTCCGTTAAGTTCTTATTTCTACTCTATCTCCTAGTTCTTCTGTATCGTTCGTCACTCTGTCTTTAAGTAAAAGTCTTCTTTTTTCATACATTAACCTATTTATATCACGGTTCTCGATCTCCTGTGCCCTTTTGAAGTGTGAGGCGTGTGCCCTATGCTCTAAATCTCACCTGCGGTATGGATATTAAGTAATTTTCCTAGTAAAGAAGATCGTTTGGAACCGCCCAGCAAATAAGGTGTTATAGAAACTCTGCAGAATTTATTGGCGTGTTGAAATCGCCCTCGGGGCTATTTCACGGTCATTAACGCTAAAAGGTTGCGATTACCGACGACGCCAAAACAAACAAGGGATCCCTGGTTTAAAATGGGCCGCAATAAATCAGCAGGGGTCGCTGCAGCCGTTTAACAGGGCCGCAGCGCTGACC